AGCAATGCAAGGCTCATTTGGTTGCGAAGTGATATTCACAAACAGAAGGAGTTGATTATGGTGAGGGGTTTTCACCCGTTGCAAATTTGAATTTCGTAAGACTTTTTTTATCTGTGGCAGTTGCATATGAGCTTGAGGTGGAGCAGCTAGATGTGAAGTCTGCGTTCCTTCATGATGATTTAGAGGAGGATATTTCCATGAAGCAACCAGAGAAATTTGCTGTAAGAGGTAAAGAAGACCTAGTATGCAAGCTGAATAAATCCTTGTATGGCCTGAAGCAGTCTCCTAGGATGTGGTACCTAAAGTTTGACACCTATGTAGTGAAGTTTGGCTTTGACCGTTGTGGTGTTGATCATTACGTTTATGTGAAAAAGGTTATTCTAACTTTGTATGTTGATGACATGGTACTTGTTGGAAACAATTTGAATACGATCAGAACTGTCAAAGGACTGCTGGCAAAGTAATTTGAAATGAAAGATCTAGGTGCTGCAAATGTGATATTAGGTATCCAAATTAAAAGGGAACGTGCTAAAGGAAGATTTATGGTTGAGTCAACGAAAGTATGTAGAAGATGTTCTAGATAAATTCAAGATGACTGATTGCAAACCTGTGTTGACTCACATGTCTACTTGTTCTAAGTTATCGGTTGACCAATGTCCTAAGACTGAAGAAGAAGAAGAGATGACATCAGTTCCTTATGCTAGTGCAGTTGGAAGTCTGATGGATGCCATGATTTGTACTTGTCCTGATATTGCTCAAACAGTGGACTATTGAGTAGGTATATGTCCAAGCCAAGAAAGGAGCTTTGGATGAGAGTGAAGCATGTGTTCCATTATCTCCGTGGTACGTCTGACATTGGGTGATGCTATGAAGGCGTGATAAGATCAAGGGAATAACATTATTAGAGCTGAGATGCTTTGTGGATGTTGATTGGAGAGGTGACATTGATGGTAGAAGGTCTACAAGTTGATATGTCGTTTCCTCTTTTGGTGGAGCTATCAGTTGAACGAATAAGAGGCAGAGCACAGTTGCTTTATCTACTACAAAGGTTGAGTATATGGCCTTGACACATGATGTCAATGAAGTTATTTGGTTGCGGTGGCTGTGCAAAGTGTTTGACTTTGCACAAGGAGAGAGGACTGTTGGGTGTGACAGTAAGAGCGCAATTTTCTTGGCTAAGAACCTAGGTTTCCATGCGAGGACCAAGCATATCGGTATACAATACCATTTCATCAGAGAGAAGATTGAAGACAATATTGTATTGCTGGAGAAGGTTGACACAAAGGTTAACAGTGTTAATTTTCTGACCAAGACAGTGACTTCAGAAAAGTTTGAATGATGTACAACTGCATTGAGATTGAAGAAACAAGCGAAGTATTTACCAAGTGGGAGATATTTAAAAAGTAAACTTTTTTCTCACTTTAACACATAGTTTTTTTTTTTTATATAATTCCCTTTATATCCCAAAAACTCCTCGCTTCTAGTAAAGTTTGCATGGAGTACTATAGGTTTTCTCATCAATCTAATCCCTTATTCTCATAATTAGCAGATAAAAAAATGATTTTAAGGATTTTATGATTAAAACTATTTTAAAAATTAAATTAATTTCAGATATATATTTGAAAAAATAAAATAGGGTTTACCAATGAAAAATAAGGTAGTATGAATATGATCCCTTATGAAATATAATTATTTTTAAGTATAATTGAATGACGAAAATTTTAAAATTTATAATGCTTAAAAATAATAGTAAAGATCTCAACCTAACAGCTACAATAATGTTAAGTTGATTTTAGAATGATAAAAGTATGAAACGAAATATCAACTTAATCTCTTCAAAGAGGAAGAAGAATCTTTGAGCTCCTTTTAGATGAGTTTTTTTTTTTAATTTTTTTCATTACAAACTAGTGTTTCAATGTCTACACTTTAAAAAAGAGAGAGTAAAAAAGAAAGCTAAAATTCTAAATTTTTTAACTTAAAATCCTAGCTTTTAAAAAATTATAAGTCTAAAATCAAATATATTTTAATTTTCAAAATCTAAATTTACCCATCTCCAACCAATCTCATCTCCCTCGTCATCACCATCATTATTGCTGTCGCTATTGCTGCCACAACCACTTTTTCCACTATCGTCGTCGTCGCCGTTGCCTTGCCGCCACCATCCCGTCGTTGCTACCATAAAATTGTCATCGCTGTCACCATATATAACACTGTCGTCGCTTTCACCATCACCTCACCTCCACCACCACCCCGCCACTGGTCCACTGCAGCTGCCGCCACCACCATCGCTTTCTTCCTAACCAAATTTGCTCTCTATTTATTTTTATATATTTTTTTTAGTAATTTTATATTAAAAAATATTTTTTAATTTTTAATATTTTAATAATATATTTTGTTAAAATATTTTTTTATATACGGCATAAAATACAAATTAATTTTAGTTTTGAAAAAAGTCCTTCTTAATATCAAGGCATAAAAAAATTTATATTTTTAAAATGGCTCTTAAACCTTCCAACCAAGAAGAGGGTAATGATGATTTCAGAAGGAATGGTGAAATTGTTTCATTCTATCATTCAACCCACCATCTAAAAAGGAATCGGGCCATATTTTTTGTTTTTAATTTTGCTCTATGTGCATCTCTTTTTTTTAATTAAATGTGCCGAAGCATAAATGCATAGCGCACCTTTCCGAAAACACCCCTTCATTTTTGTTTTTTTATAGGTTCGCAATAACACCAACAAACTTATATCCAAAAAACTCAACTTAAAATTTTGATCAGACCCTATAGTCTATACCAGTAATAGATAGATGAACTTTTCTTTTTTATGAAAACTGAAAATTATTTTAAAGAGAGCCTTCAAAGTTGGGTTAATATTTCAGTGATATTATCCTATGCTTCGTTAATCTGCTGGTCCTGGATAATCACTTCAATTCCCCGATCCCTCCCCAACACCGTTACACCGCCCTTACTAGTAATAATATAAGGGGAGTGACTGACAGCTAGTTAGTTGGTAATGAATTACGGAACAACTAGTGGAGTCTTGAAATGCACTCAAACAACTAGTGGCAAACTGGCAATGGACCCAGATCGATACGCGTGAAATCTTTTGCGTTAGACTATATATATTCTAGGAGGAACGTGTGTCCATTAAGATTTTTCAGACATATCACTGGATCAGTCACAATTATATGATCGTCTAAGTGATGGTTATTTATTATGTTCAATCGCAATATATATGGTGTATTATTTGGCCCACTTTTTTGTTTGTGTATCAGGAATTATATCAAATCTCGTAAGGTATAGAAATATAATAAAAAGTAATTTAAAAATATATAATATAATTAATGTTCTGTTTTAAAGATAGAGATGTGTAGCCCAATAGATTAGTGAGTTACTTTTGGATCTAGGTGCTCTCTCTAAGGTACCTATGAGTTAGATATCATTGAGTTTAGGAGATCACTGTGCACAAAGAAATAAAATACAACTTTTGCCAAAGGAGTGGTGTGTGGCTGTGTGCACAGTGATAGTAGAATAATCATACATGTAGGAGTTTACCTGTATAGTAGTTAAAATCGAGATTTTACTTAAAATCGGAAGGAGGATAAAAAATCGTAAAACGTAAAATCTTAATGTAAAAAATATCGTAAAAAATCGTAAAAACGTAAAAGCGTTTGAAATTTTGATGAAATCGTTTTAATTAAAAAAGATCTGAAAATCGTAAAAGCGCATATTTAAATCGGGATTTTAACTACCATATGTGAGTATTGAATTCTGGACCTCCTGTGCCTCTTCTAGCAGCTTAATGTTGTCGTATTAAGATTAATATCTTTGATATATATTCTCATTTGATTATATGAGATTTGTATTTGGATTGCTTCTTATTGGGCCTTATATTAAGTGGGTTAATTTCACGTACGAGTCCATAACAATTAATATCATATAAATTCAAATTCCAAAAAGTATCTAATCAACAAAATACATAAGTAACTAAAGTCAGTTATTCTCCTATGTACTCTCATCAATTATCAAGATTAATGTTATCACTAGTTCACTACTATCAATATTAGCATCTATTTCAATGAGATAACTAATCTTCATCCTCTTCATTAGTATACTCATTTGACTCATCTCTCATTTCTTGTTCAACAATCTGATGTCTTTTTTCCTTATCATTCTTGTTGGTAATATCATTTTGTTTATCAAGCCTCTTGAAATTAATTTATTATAGTATGATGGTGCCTTTACTTATACGAGCATTCTTGCCGGCTTTAAGATTTCAAGATTCTAAAAAAGAAAAATATACATAAAAAAACATATAATTACATATGTAAATAAATTAGATAAGGTATTTGACTAAAAACGAGCAAAGATACATTTCTTTCTCTTTTTTAGATTGATTTTTAAATTTAAATCACAAATCAAATTTTTGTTTTTATTTACTTATTCACAATAATTTTTTTAGATTTTTTTAAATTTAAATCACAAATCAAATCTTTATTTTTTTAATATTAAAAATTATAAAATTTGATTTCCGTATCGTATGATACATAATATGATATTATATTGTCTTATTATACAATCCCTTTTCGACACTCCCATTCGATATATATCACTGTGTTAGTGAATCATATCGTATTATACATACGATACGTATCTAGTATCCAATGATATTAATAAGTGATATTTACGATTACGTTAGGCCGAGCATTATTGGGCTTAGAAGGTGTCACTACTCACTAGGCTGGGTTATATTCGGCTCGTATGGTACAACTACAAAATAAATTCAAAATATTGAATTTTTAATTATATACAACTTATTATTATTAATAGACACAATATTACCTTTCAAACAACTCAAATAAAACTGATTCTTATATATTGTATAATTAATATATATAATTGTAGCATGTTGCTGAAACTTGACATAATTTGGCATATAGCTTTAATGATTCTTCTTTACCAAGTCCAATAAAATTAATACTTATTAATTAATATTATAGAGAACTGTTGCTGGATAAACCAGTAATAAAGCAACAGTCATGTTGTCAAGTTTTAAGCACCCAACACTACAAGGATTTTGCATATTAAAACATAGTAGGGAGAAGGAGAACCATGAATCGACGTACGTACGATTCCATGTAATAAACAAAAGGGAAAAACCATGCATGATGAACACATGCATAAGGAGACATCAACTTATTTATTTGCGAACTACAATATTATGTCTTATGAACTAATGATGATGACACACATTCTTTTCTCCACACGTACGATCTGTATTACATAATTAACTTATATGCATGATTTTACTCATGCGATCCTGACCCAGCATGAGACCCTGCATATGAACCTGCTTCAGAACCCGCTCTTGAAGAGCCTGACCCAGCCCCAGACCCAGCACGAGATCCTGCATAGGAACCGGCTTCAGAACCTGCTCCAGAAGAGCCTGACCCAGCCCCAGACCCAGCATGAGATCCTGCATAGGAACCAGCTTCAGAACCAGCTCCAGAAGAGCCTGACCCTGACCCTGACCTAGATGAAGAACCAGAACCAGAACTTGAACTTGAACCAGACCCAGACCCAGACCCAGAGCCTGCACCTGCACCCGAGCCTGCACCACCACCACCACCACCACCAAGTCCAATTCCTACCCCAGCACCCACCCCAACTCCCACCCCACCCAGGTCCAATCCCAGGTCCTTTCTTGCCACTCTACTTTCACACTCTATAGCATTAATTGCAACAAGCAAAGCAACAAGAGCTAAAGCCCTCAAACCAGCCATTGAAAAGGTTACAACCAACGGAACACAAGGGTCTGAAACTTAGTAGTTATTGTATAAGCTATAATGGTTAGAAATTTTTGTAAGGAGTTATGTTCAGATATGCATGCTATTTATAGTTGATAATAGCTAGTGCGGTTGTGCAAGCCTGTGTAAAAGCTGGAGGCGTGCGTATTGGGACTCTATGGGAAGTGGGGGTGTCGTGGCTTTGTCCTAGACACAAAACCCTTTCTTTTTTAAAATGTTGAGAAGAATAGTTGCTCCATTTCAAAATGTTGGCTCTTATAGATAATTTATTTAATAAAAGATTGTAATTAGTAGAAATCAATCATTTTTTTAAAAAAGTTATTCAATCGTGACAGTTGAATCAACTCTTATTCAGAAGGCGAAACCTTATCATATATAATTTTGTGGATCACAATACTAATTTTTCTAAGTGGAAACTTATGGCTGCAATTGGATATACATCAATTGTTATTTATTTGGTTGAGGCCACCAATATCATATCCCACTCACTCAATTACAATGTATAGTGGGTACGTTCATGATTGGCACGTAATCCAAACTAAGAGAAACTAAAGGATATGTTTTCCTAATTGCAAGCCACTGATCAATTACAATGTACATGTTAAGGTGTGAACTGTGAAGGATATGAGATCATTCTAGAGAAGTTACCTAGCTTTTTTTTTTTTGGTAAACAAGAAGTTACCTAGCTTTACCTTAACTGTCTTTGGCAAATGCTTGTGTGTGTGGGTGCTATGTGTTTAATTAGTACATTCCATAATATATGCAGCAACAACATTTTTTTTTTTTTCAGAATAGAAAGTGGAAAAAATAGAATTTCCTTCCACGTACATGGGTTTGATCATTCTCATCGCGAACTCATGGACAAGAAGAACCGATCATAAGCGAGTTTCTGGTGTAGTGTCTTTCTTATAGGAAACCTTTTCTTATTGACAAACAAATCAGACCAGTATATATATATACTAGCTAGTTGCTGCTATATATAGTGAGTACAAACTTAAAGCATCATATATATAGGCTATGTATATAATTAGTAAATTCAGTAATATATGCACCTTTTGTCTTCGAGTTAGTAAGTGAAAAAGTAGATTCTCCTTCTAGGCACATATCTTTTCATTCTCACCGCAAACTCATGGATAAGAAGAACCAAAGAAGCAAGTTTTGGTGTTGTGTCTGTGTTATAGCAAACCCTTTTTTTTTTTTTTTTCTTGTACTGTAATTTGTATTATCATTCCGTGTACTATATATGTAAATGTATCATCATCTGACCAAATAATGAATCAGAATATTCACTTGGATGATGCTAAAGGGACTACCATGTAGTTTTTTTGGATTAAAGGGCAAATTGTGCCCCAACCTGGTAGGGCAAGGGTTATAATTGATTCTCTTTGGGGATCCTTAATTAACCAGCATGACGACTCTTTTAACGTTTATCTTTCTTTTGGCCTTTCCTGTTAGAGTTAAGGCAAGCAAAATAGGGGAGACCCCATCAACGAGTTAAGCAATAAATCACACTTGTAAATTTTGATATCACATTTTGACCGAAAATCTTAAGACAATTAGTCCCTGTATATCTCTTTTCATTTATATGGTATAGACTTTATAAGCCACAAATGAAATCCCACCATTCTCCTCCTCAAATATAAATATGAAATCAAATATGGGAGCACTTTTTTGGTGCACTATACATCTGTTAAAAAATAGTAAAAATTTGGGATTTAATGAAAAATACTTAAAAAGATATAGACTGATTGAGAAGAAAACTTTCTCTTTTTTGTAAAAAGATGTATCCATTTGGGCACGTCCGATGTACAGTAGAAATTTTCCAAATATGGGTTATAAGGTACAAACTCAAACACCAGCTAAGGATGACTAAAGGAGGAGAGAGATTCGTTAATATGTTAATTAAGCCCCAAATCATAATAGTGGATTTTCACATTTTGACTCAAAACTTATACAGGTCTATAGGGGCTTTTTTACCCTTATAACCTTTAATTAATAATTAATTATCAATTTGACCTTCATTTGAAACTAATTCGAAAATTTAACCCCTTCAGAAAACATAACACCAATCTGCCCCTGACCGTTGACCATGAAGCCTACCCGGGTACACTCCTCCCTACCCTGGTATTTTTTGAAATTTTTTATCTACCCGGGTAGAGAGGGGTGTACCCGGGTAGAGTTCTTGAATCTGGAAAAATGGTTGAATTAGTTACCCGGGTAAGAAGGGTTGTACCCGGGTAAACATCCAGAGTAGCGTTTTTATATAAATGAAAAAAACTGTGACAGGCATAGTTCATGGACGATAGCAACGAAGATCCAAGGCTTCCTCGTCATGGCAGCCCTAATGAATTTGTTTCCATCAACCAATTAGCAGATCATTACTCTATCTCTATCTATCTATCTATAGTTTTACTTAGTTGTGACGTTGCAGAAAAATGGTGAGTTTTGCAGAATTGGGACTCTTATACTGGAAGCTGAATCCAAATGATGTTGAGGAAGATTAGAGAAACTAGGGGATACAATTACATGGTAATGTTGTATTAATTTTAATTTTTTGCGTTTTCATTAACCTGATAGAAATATAAATCTGAGGAGAATATGAATTGGAAAAAGAAACTTTTTAGCATCTCGGTTATATAAAAACGCTACTCTGGATGTTTACCCGGGTACAACCCTTCTTACCCGGGTAACTAATTCAACCATTTTTCCAGATTCAAGAACTCTACCCGGGTACACCTCTCTCTACCCGGGTAGATAAAAAATTTCAAAAAATACCAGGGTAGGGAGGGGTGTACCCGGGTAGGCTTCATGGTCAATGGTCAAACAGGGGCAGATTGGTGTTATGTTTTCTGAAGGGGTTAAATTTTCGAATTAGTTTCAAATGAAGGTCAAATTGGTAATTAATTATTAATTAAAGGTTATAAGGGTAAAAAAGCCGGTCTATAGGTCTTTTCAATTATATAGCTTTTATTTAGTTCATTCTTCACTAATATCTAATTTTATCACTTGTACTTAAATTTTCAATATTTAATCTTTTTGATAAAAAAAAAGTGAGGAAATAAAATTACAAGAATATAAGCAAATAATATTCTTAAAAAGAGAGAATATGAGCAAAAACATATAAATGATTATAGTCTTGACTAACAGGAGGAGATCACAATAATAGAGAATTTTCTAACATGGCCCGGAATGAAATTAAAAAGCCATGAACCCTCTCACAAACAACTCCCATTTTATCTCTGCTTTTTTATCAAAGTTTTCATTTTGCCCCCCTATATAACACAAGATCCACCTGCTCCTGTACCACGGAATACCTGCTCAAGAGGAAACCGGACTATTGGTTTGAGTAGACAGTGGACAGATATAGGAAGTCAATCTCCATTCATCCACAGTTTTGAGAATACGTCGTCCAAAATATGGTGGTTCAGGGTGTATTTAACTTTCAAGTCAAGAGTAACATAATATTATATGTTTATGAGGAAGGAAAATAGAAGTATAACGTTGTAGGAAAGTGTTTAAGTAATGTTATAGAGATAGAGATGGTGAGACGTACACTTGTTTATTTTTTTGGTTTTTGAAAACAAATGTGAGTTCTACCGTCTCTATCTCTATAACATTACCTAAACATTTTTCTACAACATTATACTTTTTTTTTTCTATCAGAAATTAGTTAAATGAAAGTACAAAACTTTGTCGGGGGTAAAATGAAAGTAAGCTAAAAAAGACAAAGGATTCTTGGTGGGAATCGATTTGGGAAGATGTCTCTTAAGGCTCTTAACATTTTTATCTGAATTTAACCAACAACCACAACAGTACTATAATTCTTTTGACTCAAGAAATAACTGTAAATTGGTTCACACTGAAACATAACTGATTCTTCTTCACTAAAACACAAAGGATGGAGTTCACCATCTTACATGTTTATTGTTTTGGTAAAGACCATTTTACTACTTATTTATTACACAAAACAGTCTACGATTTTCTTTTATTTGAGTAAACCATAGTATATATTCCTGCACGTCCTTAATTACCACCACCTTGACCGTAACCCTCACCATGACCATAGCCCTGCCCGGAGCCTGAGCCACCACCTCCACCTCCACCATAGCCGCCACCACGGCCACCGCCGCTTCCTTGACTTCTGCCTGATCCTGGTCTAGCCCGAGAGCCAGCATATGAACATGCTTCAGAGCCTGCTCCGGACCCAGAACTTGAAGATGAAGATGATGAACTTGAAGAAGAGCTAGAACTAGAACCAGAACCAGACCCAGAACCAGCTCCAGCTCCAGAGCCACTACCACCTCCTATGCCAAGGCCTACTCCTGCTCCAAGTCCAAGCCCCAACCCACCAAGGTCCAGACCCAAGTCCTTCCTTGCCACTCTACTTTCAGATACAATAGCTGACATAAAAAGAAGAAGTGCAAATAGACAACATGACCAAGATGCAGCCATTATGTGTATTGTGGTTTCAAGTGACAAAGTAAAGGTAAAGGAGCTATACAGTTTAGAAGAACAAACAGTGGAGGGTAGTGCAATATATGTCGCTACAATGCCCTGGTTACTTACTTTGAAGAAGCGTTCAAGGGTTTTCGAGTACTTGTAGCTGCTGGATATATTATTTATTATTTTTTATCTTTCAGGGTGGAAAGTGGGGATGTTGGCGTGGCGTTATTGGATTTTGATAGACAAAATGTTGTGGTTGACATAGCTGAAACATCTTGTACGTACATCACATGGTTCAGGACAAGTGCCAACACAACACCCACCCAAGATGGCCACTTACACCATAGTGGAGGATGAAAGGCTGTTTTATTGTTGACTATGGTGTTTTTGCTCATTCAAGTTTAATTTAAATAAATTACTGATTCTTGTGCAGCCAGCTCATGGTTATATGTGGGTGATAGACACGTAGGTCTGCTTTTTGTTTGCGGTGGTGCCGCTCTCCAAATTTTTTTTTATATTGTAGTGTGGTATCAATTTTTTGTTGTATGATGATAACCGATTTACGTTGAGGATTTACTAACGTTAATGCCTCTCAAGCTTATTATTTATTAGGAGAGGATTTAAGAATGGTTTTCTTCTCAGAGTGACATACACAATGGAGATTAGTCAATGTCCAATCTCTTCTTGTGGGTTCAGTAGTTAATGGCCGTATGTTGTTTAATTTGTTTAATTAGTTAATGGCAATAATCTTAATATGTTGCCAATAAGAGTAATCATATATAGTCTTATCGTTAGTATCTCTACCAACGGCAACTGTGGGGTACTGATACATGTTGTGGAAGATAGTGGGTAATCACCCAGAGGTTTGAATCCGTGCAACGAAAATATTATAATTAAATCTATAATTAAACTGCAATAAAAAATAAGGAGCGAACTCACATTATATATAAAAGAGATGTGAATATGTAGATAAATCTAAGCCTAACATATATTGTTTTCTTAAGACAATTTGTTCCCTTTGATGCCGAAGGTTTGATAATCCCAAGATAGAACGGATTGTGTCTCAAGAATAATGACACTATCAATCATGAGCCCTAACGAACACAACTGAATGTCCGAGGAAATCACACTCTCTAATACTATGGTATGGATGCACAATGCATAGAAAAAAATTTAACTAAAATTCTGACTCTATATATTTATAGAAAACGTAATGTCGTGATTCAAAATACATTTTTCATCGACTAAACAACGCATCTGTTCGACACGAAAAGACACATATGTTAGATACGAAAAGATATATTTGTTTGACATGAAAAGACACATCCATTCAATACGAAAAGAAACATCATTTCGACATAAAAAGACACATCCGTTTGACGACAAAAAGACACACCTTTTCAGATCAAACTTCTTTTTCATATGATTTAAACCCAAAAATACAACAACACATATGGTTAAGGCCATGGTCTAGGGTTTCGTCTTCTCATAAGTGTGATTATTTTGGGTTGCAAAACTCTTTGGGGGTGTTTTCATTATGTTGCAAATGGCATAGAATTCTGAAGTTATGAAGATGATATTTTTTTTTTTTTTGAGGTAATTAAAGGTTCGAACTTATCAGTTATAACCCAGAAGATGATTGTTGAACGTGAGTCTCAAGCCTTAGCTTCTTCTTTTTTGTTGAATAAGCCTTAACTTGTTCAAGCACCCCAACGGTTAACAGAATTGGAACTTGTCCTTCTGATTTGGGCTGATTGTATAGGGGTTTCTACTATCTATGTCCCGCAATATCTCCCTTGATGCTTAGTTTCTTCCTTGGGCTTAGGCCCGTTTCTATACCAACAAGAAAAATCATTGTTTGAATCAGGAACCAATTTATAGGAAGTCAGCAGTATAATTTCCTTATCTGAGAACATGACATGGACCATGGAGGTTGAAGCAAAACAATTTATTAGTGTTTGATCAATTATCTCGCAAACAGGATGACTATTGGCTATAGGAGAGTGGATTCTCTCAAGTATTAATTAAAATGAGGATGTTATATGAGAAAATTCTAACTATACAAGAATAAATTAATAATGATAAAGGAAGAAAGAAATAAAATATAAGGATAAAAAGTTATAAAATCTTCACCATTAATTTAATTATTAATATTTAAGAATTTCTCATATGACATAATTATTTTAAATAACACGTGAACTGATCGATTTCCAAATATAACATGATGCCCTCTTTCGAATTCGGTTCCATTGTAACAAATAGTATACTATTAGTGGAAAATGGTGATCTCTTTGACGTAAGTTGACTCCCTCCCGTATTTCCATAAGCTTCGACTCTTTAAATTGGCTATAAGACTAATTCGGATTGTAGGATGGGTCAGAGATGAAAATATTTAAACTCTCTCAAATATGACATATGAGAATCGAACCAAAATTCTTTTCTTTCCACTTATTCAACTCCTTTACTACTAACTCAACTACCACCATTTGATTTGCTACTCTTTTTCCTTCAAGCAACTGTGTTGAGAAAAACACGGATAAATAACACATCATCTTTATGTGATTTAAGTTATTTTTATTATTCATGCGTCAAATTTGATTTGTACACAGTTCTCGTGAACTTTTAAAGAAAATGAGAATTATTAAATTCAATTAACTTTTACATATGAAAAAAAATATAGAGAGAGAAAAAATGAATAAGCACGGTATAAACCGCGATTAAATAAATTAAAACCGTGATAAGTTATTTGGTGGAATCCCACTTTCTAGCCTTCAAATTATCGCCTTATCTTTGGATCTGAACCGGTCATTGACTCGATCGAGGTACTGGATCATTGGGTCACTAGTTCAATCGGTGAGTCACAGGTTGAACCACATGAGTCACTAGTTCAAACGGTGAGTCACAGGTTGAACCACATGAATCAAATATATCTATAAATTTATATTAAATGGTGCATTTACTTTAAGAAGTGATGCTCCTCACTCCAATGTACTGGGTTCGATTCCTACTTGCTGCGAAAAAAATAAAATATTTGGCCGAGGAACCAGCCCATCAACCGATTTGATTGCAGCAACTGGGATTCGAACCCAACACATTGGAGGGAAGAGCGTCATTCATACCACTAGGCCACCATCACTTTTTGAATAAAATGCATCATTTAATATATTTATTATATAACTATTAAGTTACCCACCGATTGAATCATTGATCCAGTGACCCAGTATCTCGGTCGGGTCAATGATCGGTCCGGTTCTAATAACATTGATATTTTGTAACTAATTTTAAAAGTCCGATTTAAAGAGAAAACCAGTACCGATTGAACCGCGGTTTGTCATCGGGTCACCGAGTCAATAGCGGGTTGAATACTTAAGCGGTCCAATGCTGCAATCGAACCAGTTGATGGACCAATTTCTGGGCCAACTGATCGAACTGGGCCAGTCTGATTTAAACCGGCCCAACTGATTGGACCGATTGAGCTAGTCCAATTTTAATAACACTGGGTGAGAAAGTTACAAGAGCGAATTAAGTAATAAAAATCAATTAATGATAAATGAATTACCATAAATGGGAGAGAGTTGCAAGAAAGGGGTTAGGGCGAAATTTGGATTTTTCATAACTCCCATTTCAGGTTTCGAGTTTCCCTCTCTACACTTTTTGTGAAAAAGCAAATTTAATATTTTTTCACTAACTCATTGTGTGTTTGTATATATACACGCCACATATAACGTGTATATCAGGAAAATAATTTTCAAAATATGTCAATTTAAAAAAATTATTTATATTTCCGAGATCAAGATGCCCAAGTCATCATGATTATAAAAGTGGAAATAAAAGAATGTGACTGCAAAATTTAAAGATAGATTTGTCTAAAATAGAAAAGAAAAGGTATAGGATGTTTTTATCTTTTTTGAGTTCAACTTTTATCAATTACGTCTGCATAATTGATATTTTTTTTCTGGTAGTAACCGTGAGGATAGGTAATTTTATCTATCTTTACCTTTCACTTTTTAATTTTATTAGAGCATAATTTTCAACTATTTTTATTATTTTTCTCTCGTATTAAAATTTTAATTTAATGATATTGGTTTAGTTGAAATAGCAGTAAAATTGTTAGTTGTGTATCCTATATTTACCTAAATCTTTTGTTTTTTTATATAATTTCACTATGCTATTTTTATCTTCATAAGTCGATAAGTATTGTACACTAAAATTTAAAATTTATCATAAATTTTAAGAATTTTAAAAATTAATTTTTATATTTGAATTACAATTTTTTTAACTAACACACTAAATCAGTGATATTATTATAACAAAAATTAAAAATGTAAAATAATATTTTTTAAAAATAAATATCACTTTTATCATTAAAAAAAGAACGAGCTTATATATTTGTTTTGTGTTGATGGAAATTTGTAAATTGGAGGAGCCTCATATTGTTCTTATTCATTCGCTGTGTCAGAGGGATCCTGGAGACTGGTGAGCCCTGCTCTGGCCATTGTCTTCATCGACGGTGCCATGCACACCAAATAAGCACCTCCTTCTTCATTCATCGTAAGCCTGCTCGCTCTCTCTCTCTCTCTCTCTCGTTTTGATCGCTTCAAGTCCTATTTGACCCATCCCCAGTTTTTTTTTTAATTAAATGTTGCTTAATTTTCAATTTGCATCATTGGTTTTTCATTCTGTATTTTTTTCCCCCTCTTTCAATTTCCGAAATGAATTGTTAGTCTGTTCTTTGCTGGGTACGTACAGATACGATTTATTGAAGGTGGGTATTCCTTTGCCAATTCGATTTATTATTTATGTAAAATATAGCTCCACACTATTCATCTGTGATATATGTTTCTGTATGATGCAAAATATCTGAATAAGTTGTCAGTTTAGCAAAACAAAAAGAAAAGATATGCTATAAAAATCAATGGCATTCTGAAATTAGCGTTTACATTCTACCTCACGCCCCCATGCCCCCTTTTAAAGGAAATGAAAAATATTAACTTTTTTTTTTTTGGGTGAAAGAAAAATATGAACTTTGTCATAGTTTGTAATGCTTGATCTGACCTTGAGTCCATGTACTAATGAAACCATCTTTGGAGAGTTGTAGGAATTCATTTTGAGTATTGAAAATTTGGTTATTGACGTTGGATATGGCTTTGTGTATCCTCTTTAATTGGAGTAGTGGTTATTTTTCTTGCAGGTACCTTGGTAGAGTTTGGTATTGATGTTGGCATAACCACAAGTTCATAATCTGATGAATGGCTGCTAGGGGCAAAGTTCTGCCAGTGTTTGAGGGGCGCTCTGTTCAAGGTTCTGGGATGATGCGGCATGGTCCATTTCCTGGTTTGAGTTCTGCTGCTGCACATCGTCCTCTGGAGTCCCTGCCTCCTCCTCACCTGTTGGAGCATAAAATTGCTGCTCAGGAAGCAGAAATAAAGCAACTTGCTGGGGACAATCATAGACTGGCAAGTACACATGTGGCCTTAAGAGATGCCCTTGTGTCCGCCACTCAGGATTTGCAAAAGCTGAAGTCGCACATTAGAAGCATACACACTGAAAGTGATATTCAGATCAGAGTTTTACTAGATAAGATTGCAAAAATGGAGGTAGATATTAGAGCTGGTGATACTGTAAAGAAGAACCTGCAACAGGTTCATATTGAGGCACAGAGCTTGGCAGCTTCTAGGCAGGAATTGAGTGCCCAAATTCAACGAGCCACTCAGGAACTGAGGAAGGCCCATGGTGATGTTAAGAATATGCCAGATTTGCAGGCTGAGCTGGACAGTTTAGTGCAAGAGCACCAGAGGTTACGGTGAGTATTGAAGTCTGTTGCATGGCTGTTTGCACCTGCATGTAGATCAGAACTGATGCTATGAACTGACACTAAACATACAAGTTCACCACTTTCTATAAGCAAAATCTGCATATTTCCCACCCCTACCTAACAGAAAATGAAGATATGAAAAGTATAAATAAACAATCAAAGAAATTTGTTCATGTTGGTTTTTTCCCCACTTAGTACACTAACAGAAAGTTTAGGACCCGCATGCTACTGACAAGGACGATTCCTTTCATCGAACTATCTAGTATCTAAGCTTGATAGGATCTGAACGCTTTCTAGATATTGCATGTTATCTTTGAAGTGGGTATTATGAATGGCATAATAGTTTGGGTATCCTATTGTCATTGTTATGATATACTAAAGGTGAGATATTACACACCCAGGTCTTTGTGTGGTATGAATTAACATTTATTAGCTTCCATTAACAAAAGGATTGGATTGGTATCAATAAGCATTAGCATTTATTGACTCTACCTTTTTAGTATTTCAAATCCTTGTTATAAAGGTCACAATGGCCGTACAGAATAGGCAAACAATTAAGCAATTATCTTCTTTCATTCTTTCTCTCATCCCCCCCCCCCTCCCCCTTCTCTCACTTCTCTGTCATTTTACTCTGCAATTCTGCCAACTCTACAATTACCCTTAACCACAGTTATCAATCGCAAATAGAGAACGACCCCCCAAAACACTATATTAGTATAGCAGGTAGAAGTCTACATAAATGCTATGCTAAATTACACTACACATATAAATGCTCAAAAATAAAAAATTATCCAAAAATACATTTATTCATAATTAATCCTATTGTCACTTTCATTCCAAACAAAGATTCAAGGAAGATGATGCCATGACTTGTGCATTTGTGATAAATTATAGGTGGAGGATAAGTCTTGCATCATCTTAACATAAGGTATAGGTCAGGTGAAAAGAGATGAACTCACCTTACAGTCTAGATGTGTCTCGTTACCAGCATTGATGACTAGGTCGCCAGAATATAGAGGAGATAATTCACCGATTTTGATGGGTCAACGGATCTGAGTTGAAAAGAGGAGTGAGTGGGCTTGCCGATAAACCGCCGGAAATGAGTTGCAAGAGTGGAGAGAGGTAGGAGGAAGAGTGAGAGTGACACGAAAGTGAGAGAGGCAAGAGAGTCGAGATTGAGAAAGAGGGGCATCCAAGATAGGGTTTGTAGCTTAAAAAATGGTAAAAGTTGATTATAGCCCTTCAAAAGTCTACTATTTCCCTTCCTTCACTGCAGCGCCGCAGGCATACAAGATAGGGTTTGTAGCTTAAAATGGAGTAAAAGTCAATTATATTTATACCCCTTTAAAAGTCTACTATTTCCCTTCTTTCACTGTAGCGCCGCGATTGCGACTGCTACTATACACTGTTATGTTGTGTAGCGGAAATAGCGCCTGGGTGCCGCTACACACACATGTAGCGGTGTAGGGTGGAATAACGCCATTATAATAACCTAGCTCCTTATGGCTAGTGTTTTCATCAATTCTTGCCTCCATTATGCTAGCAAACCATTCTCAAGAGTACGAGGCTCAATTGCAAGCAGTACAACAACTAGCCAATGCACCAGCTGTTTCCATTGAACAATTACACCTGGATTTCCTGGACCCAAGCCAACATCGATCAATTATGCAAGGCTTTCCTAGATTCTCAAGACAACTAATTGACAACAAAAAGTCTCATGACATTTCTAGACAAGTGTGATCCGCGCATCCTTACCATCCTCCGACATGAGCCCCCACCATTACTACCATTTATGGCCAATCCAATAATGAAAATTCTTGATAGCGTTCTGCACAAGTCCATGCCTCCAGATGTTGTGCCAGCACATGGACTTACTTTCCGCCTCACATTCCCACATTTTTCCTTGATGACACGACCGTTTGGCTTTTCAACGTGCAACACTATTTTCAGTATCATAACATGCACCTAGAGGATTGATTGTTGCAGACCGCGATGCTTCTTGATGCACCTAACTGCTAATAGCCTCCTACCTACTTGGACGCATCTGTCCATGTCGTTTGTTGCCATTTGGGTCCTTCTAAGTATGATTACCAACTTGTCTCTGATAGACTCCGTCCTCAATTACCAAGCTGCTTTCGAGAACCTTGCTAGCCAGGTTTGTGGACTCTCTTAAGAGCATTTATGTAGCTTGTTTATAACTAACTTGCAACTTGGAGTGCATATGGAGGTTCAAGCTCATCGGACCACAGACAGACATGATGCATTCACATTGGCATGCATGTATGAGTCTCAACTCAGCAAGCTGCACCTCATCATCTTGCCATTTCAGCCATTACCCTTGCAACAACAAGCTTAGTTGCCCTTGCTGTCTTAATCCCATTTCACATGACTTTTTATCAAACGTCTAACAAACAAAGAGATGCAGAAGCAATGCGACAAAGGACTATGCTTCAATTGCGATGAGAAGTTTGTCCATAGGCATCAATGCAAAAGCCCAACCCTTTTATGTTTCGATGATTTTTGTGACATGGAAGATGACTTGTCACTCGAGCTTGTTGAACAGGATCCGACTTGAGGGAAAATCGCGTCTCAATGGGGGAAGGGATATTATGCACCAAGGTTTTCGTGGGGTATCAATTAGCAGTTGTTAGCTTCCATTAAATAAAAGAATTAGGTTGGTATCAATTAGTATTGATTATTATCAATTAGAATTAGCATTTATTGGCTATACCTTTTCAGTATTTCAAATCCTTATTATAAAGGTCAAAATGGCAGTATGGAATAGGCAAGCAATTAATCAAATATCTTTCCAATCTTTCTCTCATTTTATCCTGTCTCTCTCTCTCTCTCTCTCTCCCAACTTCTATGTCCTTTTCTCTCTGCACAATCACCCTTAACACGAGGTTGCCATGGGGTGGAATGAAAATTAGTTCAAAACTTGTATGAAGGACTCCTGAATCATTTGAGTTCGTGCTGAAGTAGTTTTCAATTTCACTATCTATCAAATAACGCTTTAAGTCCGTGTTTGCTATTCATGGGTGCCATTATATGCCTAAAATCTATATTTGTTATTCCTTTGCAGGATGTCACACATTTTCTTCTGTTGCTCTTAATTATTTATCTTTTTTTCTGATAAATTTTCTGGTAATTTTTTAAATTTGTTTGGGTAAATAGTGCCACATTTGAGTATGAAAAGAACAAAAACGGAGAGCTGGTGGATCAAATGAAAGCAAAAGAGAAGGATCTAATAGCAATGGCGAAAGAAGTTGAAATGTTACGAGCTGAGATTTTGAATGCTGAGAAAAGAGGAAATGGTAACTTTCTGCCTTCATAGTCTTTTTATGTGATATTTCTATACATATATGTTTCTGATGCATTCATACTATGTAAACAGCACCAAATCTGTTTGGAGCTGCTACTCCTGTAGACAGCAATGGTCCCTTTGTTGATGCTTATGGGAGAGCTCATGGTCATGTAGGAGAGAGTATGGTACCGTATGTTGACAGCAACGGAGTAGCAGCTGTCAATAGTGCTGGTGGTGGTAGTGCTGTTTGGCCAGGTCCATAAGATCCCTCTGGTTGCTCAGAAGTGAAGTTTAATCAGATGCAGCTCGACTTTAGCTTTTGCTGGTATAATGCATGGGGAATTGATGTTTTTTTTTTCTGTTTAAATCTCACAGATTGGGCTTAATACAATTTTGTGAATTTTTGAATAAAATCTGCAAATTGAAGAAGCCACAGATCTTTCTCTCAAACAACTTATGGGGGGAGAAATTGGACGTCTGATCAAACATAGGCTATGTAGTGAACTGTTATTTTTTTTTCCCCAAGTTTTTAGCTTTAGAGGACGCAAGCCTATTTTTTGGCGTGCATATGAAACATGTTTAGGATGAAACTGTTTGCAAGTCATTATTGATACCACCAAGTGAAATCAAATCATCTTTTTAAATGCTGGCACAAAACTAAATTATTTATGTTTTGGTTTTCTGCCTTTGTAATGTAATTTTATGAGATTTGGGGAAAAGAAGGAAAACAGGGAGGAGAAAACTGCAGTGAGGGGGAGATAAATCAGATTCAGGAGGATGGAGAGAAAATTAGAAATCATCTTCTTCTTTTTTTATCAACTTATTAACATTTTCACATTTTTATGAATATAACAAAATCACAAATCACTATTAAGCCTTCCATGAGGAACCACACCACATTCGCATAGGTACGAAGTAAATCTTTGGAAAAGTAAAGGATAAAGAATAAGGGGATCACAACCCATAAAAATCATTAGAACTACAAGAATCACTAAATGTATGGAAATGTTCAATTAAGACATGATGGAGGAAGGGATCAATCAATGATAGTTTTGTAATTGTTTCTGTTACGAGCCCAGCTTATTTGAAGGAGTACGATTTGGGTTCAGGCTTGCAATCCAGGATGAAGATAAATCTCAAGAGTCCAGTTTTATTTTCAATTCGGAATTATAATCCCCTTTTATGTAATTTCTTTTTAATAGTTGAAAATGCTGATACGAATATATATGTGAAGAAGTTTGTTAGAATGATAAGAAGAATTTGAATCATTCTCTCTCTATAATACTCTTCATCTTCCTCTCCCAATCTGCTACAGTTTCATGGTAAATAAGATAAAAAGGGAGAGGTAAATAGAGGATAATGGAGAGAAATTTTCATTTCTATGGGTTTATGGTGGGAAACAATGTCGTTTTGATATTTCATGTGGTCAGTTTAATGGGCACACAACATTACACATGTGTTTTAAACAATGTATTAACATCGAATGTCAGAAGTTTCAAAAGTACTTTGTATAGATGAAAACTTTCAAAGACCAAAACAACATAAGTAACATATTTTAAGTACCAAATTGTTTGTTTACTCAATTTGTAGTTGATTATTTAATACTTATGTCAAAAATTTAAGATTTTATTTTTATATTTATTCAATATTTATCAATCCATATTACTTTTTATTCTCCAGACGTATTAATTTTTAAATTTCTTTATGTTTAGTATATCTCAAATTAGGTTTAGGACAGCTATCCAAAAAAAAAAAAAAATTAGGTTTAGGACATTAAAAATGGGCCAACCTTGAGAATCCAATTGGACCCGTTAATCAAAAACTCTTAATTGGGTCTCGTTGAAGCCCATTTCGCCCACCCGTTTTTTTTTTTTTGATAAACCGCCCACCCGTTATTATTTATTTTTTAAGTTGCGCTTTCATTCCATTTCTGAATTCTCTTTTCTTTTTCCGAAGCCTTTTTGTTGAGCGAGTCTCACTCATGGCGGAGGTAAGCTTACATTTTCTCAGGTTCTGATTCTCATTGCTGAATTAGAATAGCTGAATAATTTATTTTATTCTTTTTGATATTCAATTTCTTTTTTTGTTTCTTATTTTCGCCTTTCATGATTCTGATTTATTATCTTTTGAGATTTTGCATATTCTTCTGTTTTTAAATTTATATTCTTAAGCTGATCTATTGAATCAATTTAGGTGTTTTTCCTTCTAATAAATAAGATTGTGGATTGCGTGTTTTTTATTCCTCTACGTGATCGGGTTCAACCGTTCAAGGTTGTTGTTTGAGCCAAATGATTGAGAATGAGATAGGAGGTGGTGAGAATATAAACTCTCCAGGGAAATGAAGTATTGGATACATAAAGTATGAACATTTTCAATAGAGAGGAATCCAATTATAAATTCTTAAAACTATAGGTTTTCAATTGGAAATTTTTAAAACTATAAGAACCTAAGAATTAATTTAACCATAGTTTTATAAGTGTGGTTGCTGCTTCACTGGATCAAACCAAAATGTCTAAATATTGTTTTTTATAAATAACCGTATTCATTGAGAATGTATTGGTATATTTCTGCTGCCTGTGACAATTTTTTTTTGAAATTTGATTCCCTGAAGAATATTTGCTTTGTGTTTCTAGTTTTTTACTTATGATGCATTTCGCTTATAGATATCTTAGTTACTACACCCAGATGCCATGCGGCATTTAAACTTCATTTTTTGAGATTCTGATCCTGGCATTTTGGGATAACTGTCTAAATTTGGTTTCACTGCGCATGTGTTTTTGGATAAGATTCTGAATCAAGATATGTTTTTGCCTTTGTTGACATTCATACAAGTCATTCTTCATTCCTAAGTAGAGCAGGATATGGATAATAGATTTAACGCTCGCTTATCTTCATTGCTTAAACGCCTACCTTCAAAGTTGAGGTTTCATTGGGAGTGGTTTTTTATCTTCATTGCTTAACAATTAGAGAGCCCAAAACAAAATCTCAGTCTAGCATTCTGCTATAATATATCTTATCCTAGTTCAAGTTTGAATTTTGATGGGACAGGTTAAGTACCTTTCGTTCTTCTTTAGCCTTTTTTCTCACATAATTCTTTTTTGTTACTTTCTGCTAGATTGATCTAAAAACTGCACCCGCTGATTTTCGTTTTCCTACAACTAATCAAACCAGACACTGTTTCACTCGCTACATAGAGTTTCATAGGTGGATTTCCTGACATTGGCTATCTTTTTTGGCAAATATTGTTTCCAGAATCTTTTATTGAAGATTAGTTTTAATTACAGGTGTTTGGCAGCAAAAGGCGAAGAGTCAGGTGAATGTGAGAAATTTGCTAAATTTTACCGTTCCCTTTGCCCCGGTGAATGGGTAAGCAACCCTTAGCTTATTGATTTACTTGAAACTATCTGCAAATGTACTTAAATGTAAAGCTTGATGTCACAGCTAAAGTTAATGTGATTTGTGGTGTTCACCAGTTGATGGGATTCAGTACTTACCATCGGCAAGTATTTTGCAATTTGAATCAATGAACTCCCGTTGCCCCCATGTGTAGTCTCAACTTTTCTGCATGTGGATTCCCCTTTGCTTATTTACAGCATCACTATCAACGCAATTGTTCTTCAATGTTTTTACAAGCTAGTCTACAACCTTTTAATGAAAGTTGTTTTTCTAACAATCATTTGCTGGTATATTATGTTGGTTTTGAAGTGCTACTGTGCTGTGCTATTTGTTAGCCTTCTATATCAAAGCTCTGTAAGATTCATTGTTTTTAGTTTTCTGTAGCAATTTAAAATACTGATAGACTGCATCCTGGACTTAATCAAAATTCAAAAGAACAAAAATTGGTGATCAGTGTGGGGGAATCCAATGTTCATGACATTTACCCTGAAAAAATGTGAATTTTATATATTCTTTTTTATGAAAAAAAGCTGAATCTTGTGCTTGAGAATAAAACCTCTGATTGTAATGTCCAATAAATAATATTTTACACTTTGGGTTCTCTGCTTCCCTTATCTAATATATGTGTATCTCAAGACTGCCAAGAGATAAAGATATCGAGACACAGTCCTCAAAATGAAGTAAATACTCTCTTTGGCTAATGTATTCTGAAGTTAATAAATACAAAGCGTTACAAAAAAAAAAGAACAAATATGTATGTTTCAGAAATGATGGATGTTATTAAACATGTTTATATGGTGGTTTAGTTTATTTGGAGAGTTGGAGTCATAACTAAATTATCTAGAATTCTAAAGTGGTAAGTGTAAAGAACCACTTCAACCCAAAACCTTAAGGTGTTGGGTGAGGGCTTTTTTAATGGTCTATATTATTCTCTAACACGCTCCCTCAAGCAAGAGCCCTTTGGGCTTGAAGCGTGGATTATTGCATAGGCCCAATTTTTGGTTTACCCTATGCTTATTTAATTCCACAAGTGGAGGATAGTGAGGATCGAACTCATGACCTTGTGGTCACTGAAGCTCTGATACCATGTAAAAAGCCACATCAACCCAAAACTTTAAGGTGTTGGGTGAGAACTTTTTTAATGGTCTATATTATTCTCTAACAGGCAATCCCAAAATGCACAAGGGCAAAGCAAAAGTATTGTCTTGTCTGCATTTATACTCTGGTAAACCCTCATGGTTCTGTTTGTGCTGTGTAGCCATTGCATGAGCCGTGCTCTTGCATCCGTACTTGGCTCTGAGCTTTGGTGGATCTATGCAATTTGTCTATTCTTTTCGTAGATTGCCTCTCCCCCTCCTTTATTCTTTTTCCCAAGAAAGGATTTGGTTAAGTACATGGCTATGTCTTATGTAGTCTAGTTATTTTGGATTTAGCATGTTTAGACACAGTTTTCGTCATCAACAAATTGACTTATATTAGAGTTAAGTTTTAAATTTTTTTCTCCTAGGACATTTATCTCAAGAAAGTTGTTAACTTGTTCCAAGAACATAGTTGCTTGAAACTATTGTTGATGCTTTGCACTGGCAAGATTTTTGTGACACAATTTGAATTGGTGTAATTGGTCGAGTGATCTTTTTATGATGTCTTTGCAAATATGCAAGGGTAACACTGCGTACAAGTATTGCTCTCACCCTACTCTCGCTAGTCGAGGTTTAATGGGAAGTGATTTTTTTGCGATTATGCTCATATATCAGTCCTTTGAACCTATGGTACCATACCTAATATTTATTCGTGTATCTAGGTGTTTTGTGTTTTTTGCTAGAATTAGGAGAGTGAATTTGCTTTGGTATATATGGTTTATTCTGCAAAATGCCTGCCCCTGTAATTAATCTCTAGACATTCATAGAATTGCTAATATATTTTTTGCACTTGTGCATAGAGCAAATTATATATCAAATATTGTCACAAATTTGAAAGCTTGGTGTTATCCTAAGCTGGTTATCTACCACACAAAGATGTCAACTATTTTGCAATACAGCACCATTACTAAGTCAAATTATCAAACCGTTTGAACAGATTACTTTGAAGTATTCTTTCTGATTCGATAATCTCCATTGGGTGGGTTACCATTACTCTATCTAAATTTTTTTGTTTGTACTAAATTGTGGCAGGTTGAAAGGTGGAATGAGCAGAGGGACAATGGGACTTTTCCAGGACCTCTTTGAAATCATGAATGGCTTGGATGTTTTTTTGACGCATGAGGTGTCTTGAACATTCTCTATTGGTTTATTTTCTTCTATATATTCTCTGACCTTCACCGAATCATGGTGGATCAATAAGGCAGTTTATGGATATTCATTGTTCTAAAAATTGCTGAAACCATTTTACTTTTTTAAGTTGATGCAGTGTTTCTGACTATGGTATTTTCTTTGTTCAGACCATTGAATCTTTTTTAATTTTTTTTTTTGTCAGCTCCATTCCCTCAAAGTACCGTACTCAGCTATGCTCTTGATAAATGAAAATATAGTTAAAAAAAAAAGGAAAAAAAGAACTTCCCTCGAAATATTACAAAACGGAACAGCCATTTTTTGCGCTGAAATTGCTCATACTGATCGAGAGTCTGAAGACCGTTAGATTTTTCATTTTTGTTGAATCGAGTAAAAGTATAATGATATTAGCAAGAGATTACGTAGTCAATTTTCTGAGGAATTTAAAAAAAAATATATATATATATATATAGATTTTGCACAGCTTCATATGGTTGTGTAATAAAATTGATTATTGTAGAGAAGTAGAGGTGTTCATTAACTGATTTAAACCGATTCAAACCACGATGATCGAATTGAAGAATCGATAACTGAATAAATCGAAAAATTAAAAATTGAAAAAAAAAATCGTAAATTTTAATTGGATTTGATCGGTTGATGAAAATCGGTCAAATTCAAACCGATCCAATATATTAAGTCCCCTTTACCTACTTGGGCATTTTTTCAATCATAGTCCAAAAATTTTTAAACTAAGACCCATTAACCCATCAACTACATAAAAAAAAAATTCAGTCACATTTCATCAACAAAATTTCATTCGTGTAGAGTTTCATATCTCATTGTAAAAAAAAAAATTATATTATCGTTTAGTGATGTTTTTATATTTTAAAAAAATAAATTTATAAAGTCAATATATACAAAAGATGTTATTTGCACGATAATTATGAAATAAATTTTAGGATTTAAAAAAAAAACGAAAACTGATTCAATCCAAACAAAAAAAATTGAATTGGATCGGATCAGATTTGAAAAAAATTCAAACCGAATGGATAATTACATGATCAAATCGAAAGGATTGGATCGGATGATTTTTATTTCCAAAACTGATCCAATCCAGACTGCGAACACTCTTGTAGAGAAGAAATAAAGAACTTGAATTATTACGAAAATCAGATGGTTATGAATGTCCGCGAATTTATTCTTTTACCAGCGATTATTAATTGTACTTTATACGTTAATATGATCGTTTATGCTGTTGTATTAAGTCATGAGTGCAAAATCCAGTCAATTAGTTAGTTTGTTATCAGTCAATTAGTTAGTTTCTTGTGTTTAGTTCGTACAGTTAAATTGATATATAATTAGTGTCTCTATGTATCGGACCATGACTTCAGAAATAGAATTTATTTTTTATTTTCCTTCATGGATATTTTTGTGGTTTTCTTCATATTATGAAACAGAGCAAAACCAGCCATGAAAGAAAAAAAAACAAATTCTATTTCTGAAGTCATGATCTTATACAGAGATGGGCTGATTATATATCAGTTTAACTGTACTAACTAAACATAACAAACTAACTAATTGATTGATAATAAACCAACTAATTGACTGAATTTTACACCCGTGGCTTAATACAACGGCATAAACGATAATAGTTAAAATACTTAATATACTTCAGAGAAGACACATCTGAGTTGCAAAAGAAATGTAACTCATGGAACCTTTACATGCTTTAAAATAGCAGATAATAATTTCTTGGGTTAAGTTAAACGCATGAAAAATTTCGATATCTGTTTCGGTGTAAGTGACGGTTTTTAAGGATTTTTTATTTTGGTGTACGTCATTCATGTAACTTTCAAGTAGAATGTGAAAGGTTTACTTGTATGGTTTTTTTTTTTTTTTTTTTTAATATAACAATGTGTGATTTTGGTTTTTAATTGACTTTTATAATTATTAGATGGATTTAGAGCCCGTTGCCTGCATCATGATTCATGCACGATGCCGTGGCCAAATCAATTTTGTAAACTAGACGGTGAGATAGAGATATGTCTCCATTACAACTCGCCGCGTGTATAAAATATAAGGAAACGTGACTCTTTCTCAGAACAAACCCTCCCGAGATCGGATTGTTCGTTTAATTGCTGTTTATGGTTTGCAAATTTCAAAATAAAAATTATTCAATAAAAATAAAGGAGAAGGATATTGTAATAATAAAGTTGTGTTATTATCATGTTACTACCAATCAATTTCACCGTTAGATTGATTATGTTGATTCAACGGTTATATTTATTTTCATCTTTGTATAGTTATGATTCCCTATATTTAAAGTGAAAGCATTAAATATGAAAAATCATAACCATACAAAAGTGAAAATAAATATAAAGTATTAAATTTGGGAAATCATGACCATACAAAGATGAAAATAAATATAACTGTTGGATCAACATAATCGATCTAACGGTAAGATGGATTGATAGTAACTTAGTAGTAACATATCATGGTTGTTGTAATATCTTTCTCCAAAAATAAAATACTCGACTAATTTTTTAAAACTTTTAATATACTAATACTTTATTTTAAAATGCTTTTTATTATTGATTAATATCCTCAAAATACTTGTTAGTAAACTTCTTTCTTAAAATATCAGGACCTTTAGCTGATTTCTTCAGTCTTATCCGATATTTTACGTGTTGTGTTAGTCTCGCTAAGTTATAACGAGTGTTGGACGCAATCATTCATGAGTTGACTTCGCACACCACCCTCTCTCTTTTTGCTAAACCTTTTAGGAAAGTAAGTTATCCTAATCATAATTACTGAAAATATCATAGAAAAGTAATGTTTAAGGAAAATTAAAAAGAAATTTATTTAGTTGATCGAATTATTATCAAAAAAATTAATTTAAATTTTTTAAATTTATGTTTGGTTGAAAGATAAAATTTACTAAAAAAATGATTAGAATTACTAAAGTAATTTTTGCCTATCAAATTTTGACAAGTTATTTTAAGGATATTTATATCCAAATTTTCGCTCTCTAATTTTTTATTTTCCAGTTAAAACAAAAAAATTTAAATGATAATCTGAATAAAATTTTATACACAATATTTAAGCAAATTTTTTAAAAATTCTAACAAATATGATCTTTTTTGAATTCTGTGTAAATTTTTCTAAATAACAAAATAAAATTCCATTACCAAATACATCCATAATCTGTCTGCCAACGAAAATGTCAATCTGTCCTTCCTGGCACTAGAGAAAACAAGTAATCCATTATATCTACAGCGATATTGTATTAACATAAAGAAAAAAAAAATAGTATCTATGGAGCAAAACAATTGAACATTCCAAGAATGCAATTATCATTCGCCACATGTTTTCAGCGGCCACCATTCACCAACACCCATTAGACACGTTCAATATTTGACCCATTCCACATTTATCAATTATCATTGTTCCCTATAGAAATGTAGTCGTAAAATTCTCGATGCTGCCATGTGCCACTGCCACCTTTAACTAGATTTCGCAGCCGGCAGGGCACGTTGCACCCTCTTCTACTTTGCCTCTCTCTATAGAAAAAGTTAAGTATTTTTCAGTTGGGAAAAATATTTGTGTTTTAAAAAATGCGAAAAATATTTATCTTTAAAAAAAAAATATAATTGTGCTATTTTAAAAGAAAAAATAGAATCAAATATTTTTTATTTAAAATTAAAAAAACCCATTTTTGGTTCTATAATTTTAATTGTCTGTATCTTTTTCTCATTTAAAATGACATAACTCCATGTTATTTACAAGGACAAACATTAAATCCTTAAAAAATAGTTATTTTCATTAAAAGTTATTTAAGATTTAAATTAAAAAAATCTTTTATTTTCTCCTATCATAATTTTTGTTTCTCTCATCCACAATAATTTTGAATAAAATAATACGATTCTATATTCTTTAGAGTTACAAACACTAATTAATCGTATTTCATGTAAAATTTAATTTCTATGCCTTTAATGCAACTCACTTAGAAGATGTAATCTCGTATCAATCGCATAATTTGTGTTAAAATAGAATATATATTTTTTACACAAAATGATCTCCTAAAAACATAAATGAGCCACACACACACACACACACAAAAAAAAAAAAATCCAAATTAATTACCCTTTGCCTTATATGTTACCCAAGTATCACATGCTCAAGTTTTAGAATGGAAGTTCAAGCAACGAAAATCAGATCCCGAAGTGGTGACATTCATGTTTAATTGCCTCCTGAAGCACAAATTCTCTTTTGATTTATCTGAAAAAGAAAAATTGATCTGGGATTTTTTTGAAAGCTATAGCAGTATCATTATTTTAAAGGATTAACATCTGTCATTTTAAATGATATAAGCTTATATTATTTTAGATCCTAACCGATGATTTTCATTCATCAACGGTTATAGTCTATGGGTCAAAATTATTAATTAATTAATAATAAATTTGGCCCATTAAATTTGACCTAATAGATTATAACTGTTGATAGACGGAAATCAACGGTTAGGATCTAAAATGATATAAACTTATATCCTTGTAAAGGACGTATGTTTTTCCCTTAATTTAAATAAGAGATTTGGAAATCTTAAATTTGTAGAGAGATTATTTCTAGTTTTTCTAAAACTTTTTTACGAAGATACAGGTTATGGTATACTTAAGAATAATTCATTTGATTAAAATATTAAGAAAAACTAACTACTTACATGGGCATTTAATTTTATGGATTATGATTCAATAGTATTAAAAGACTCTCGCACCTTTAATTTATACAAAATTTGAAGAACATTTGTACAATGTTAAAAATTTTAAGCCATACTTCACTCTTATCAGAATTATGCTAAATTATAATATTATAAAAAAAATGAAAATTGGGGTAAATTTAACCCATTTCTTAACGTGTTATGGTTTTTGTAAATATTATTTTTATCAAAATAAATAAATAATCGAGTGCAGAAAATTAAATAATAATTATATAACGGTTACTTGTATCATGCGTATTACGTAGTATAGATGTCGTGGAAGCCACGTGGCGGTGAGTCGGTAACACATAGCTCTAAAGCAACCTTCTGGTCAACCCACGGATGCTGACTTAGTTCAATGACTAACATTTCACTTTAGTTTAATTTAATCAATTTAATGAATTTGACTCGTTTGGCTGTGTGTTTGGTGCAACCAGAGATACACAATTGTCATTTTACCGACAAAGGGTGGGTCGCGCACCTGTAGTTATTCAGGTTAGAGTTGGCAAAGTGAGCAGGTTAAATTATCATTAACCTATCAAAAAATGAGTTAGTCCGTCTTATTTTATTTTTGAGAGCCGATTGAAAAACTCTATTCGCCGGCCCGAATCTATTTTACACTAACTCACCCTCCTGTCATCAACCTTCCAAAAAATGATTCCTCCCACCCCACCTCACTTTCTAGAGTGAACCAGGGCGGGTCGGCTTGCCGAATTGAACTTGTTTTGCTGACCCTAATTGAGACGACAATAATAATAGCTCAAATTTTAAGAATAACTTTTGTGATAAAATTCCCCATCTCCTTTAGGTTCAACATAACTTCAAAATAAATCAAATTGCATGATGATTTAACTCAGTTGGTAACACAAATTGAATAGATTAGGAAGAGAATCTGAATTCGATTCTCATTAAATACATCTTTAAGGAGGGGCAATGAGCTTTAATTGTAACTAAATATCTACTCGGGATTACTCTCATAGCCAGCTGAAAGAATTGAAGACCTAACTCGCTTCAAAAAGAAAATTAGAGTTGTATATCAAAAAATAAAAATAATTTTTTTTATAATCAAATAAAAAACAAATTAAAACTATTAAAGTATCAACTATGAAGCACCGACACTTCAAAAATTCTAACGTGTCGTGTCCGACACTTCAACACGCGTTGTAGAAATCCAAAAAATGGTTCAAAGATTGTGTTGCGTTGCATTTTTAGTTCCAACTATTAGATTCGTTGGATTACGATTACTATTTTATTGAGTTTAATATAAATATTTGGGATATCTTATGTTTTTTTTACAAAATTGATGGGTATTATAAGTTTAACTTCATTTTTTTATTAAATTATTGAATATTAAATATAATATACACTACATAAGTTACAAATATTATTTAATATCAAAACGTGTCCTAACGTGTCGAAATCTAACACTTTTTAAAATTAACGTGTCGGAGTGTCGTGTCGTATCGTGTCACGTGTCCCGTGTCCGTATCAGTGCTACATAGAGTATCAATTAAAAGAAGATATATGATGTCTTTACGAGCAATGTTGTTAAAATCGAGATCTTAAGTACAATCGGTAGGAGATTAAAAAATCGTAAAACGTAAAATCGTAATGTAAAAAAATATTAAAAGCGTAAAAGCGTTTGAAATATTAGTAAAATTGTTTTGATGAGAAAAAATCATAAAACTGTAGTAATAAATCAAGCTTTTAACAACAATGTTTACGAGGCAATTGTAGCAAGTTACCTATTCCTCTTTCTTAACTTCCAAGAGTGACCAAATGATGTGTTATGGGCCTAGATGAAAGGCTCGTATTCTAGAAGATTCAAGAAAGGGCAACTGTAAAAGAAATTAATGCAAATAAAGGAAAGAATTATTAATTGATGCTAATTCTAATGCGACAGCTATGACATGGGTTTCACAAGAGCCACTAAAGGTCCAAAATGTTACTATCCACACCCTATAAATGAGAGATAAAACTTACATGAATGATTATCTTCTCTCTCTTATTGTTATGTTATCACTATGCACAGACACAATGTTTTGGCAATGCCATTATTATGTGCACAACGATCTGCTACTTCAAATATATCTATTTTATAGATATATGAAAAAGCACATAGATCCAATATGCCAGGACAGAACATGATGGTTGTTCAGTTGGCGCATGAGAGCTGAGTAGGGTTGGTGAGAGCATGTATTCAATTCGATGGTTGTTTAGTTGGCGCATGAGAGCTGAGCAGGTTAGAATAAAAGCATGTGTTCGATTCTTCCTAGTACCATCTTTGAGAAGGGTTTAAGTCATTAATACTAGACCCGCCATGAACTTCGAATTAGTCTATCGGCAACCTATGAGATTACCGGGATACTCCAATTTTTTTTTTCTAAAAGTGATCCTAGCCTTCTATTCACAGTTTGTTTGTGGGAGATACTGGCCCTTCTTCTTCTTTCTTTCTTCCCTTTCCTTTTTTTTATTTTTTTGTATTGTGCAAATTGCAAAGCCTCAAAGGTAAAAAAAAACACACACTAACAAACCACGAAATCGTCAAACGAGCAATGCCAATAAAGAGGCAAAATGGTATCTCGTGTCAGGACGTTATTCTAACCATTTCAACAATTAATCAACAACTTGCCACCCAAAAAAGTTAAAAACCGCGTAACCTAAATCATTCTTAATTATATCAAATTGGATACACATGTCTAAGTTTAAAATTTAGAATCAAAATCATGGAATGTATAGAATGCATCGAATAATCTTTTTCCTTTAATTCAGTTTTATTCATTCCTAATGAATTTTCATTGGCGTTATTTAATAATACATATCCTTTTCTTTAAAAAAATGTGTTTGATTTTTTCATTTATCTAGGTTTAAAGTTTTAATATACGGAGACTCTGTCTTAGAGGTGTTCATCAACCGATTCAAACCGCGGTGACCGAACCGAAAAATCGATAACCGAATAATCGAAAAATCGAAAAATCGAAAATCGAAAAAAACTGCAAAATTTAATTGGATTGGATCGATTTTTGGATGGGTTGATGAAAATCGATCCAATCCAAACCGATCCAATATATTAATTTTCTTTTACCTACTTGGGCTTTTCTCCGATCATAGCCCAAAAATTTCTAAATCCAAAACCTGTTAACCCATCAACTACACCCAAGAAAAAACCTAATCACATCTCATCGAAAAAAATTCATCTGTGTAAAACTTCATACCTCATTGCCCAAAAAAAATCTATATTATTGTTTACTGATGCTTTTGAATTTGAAAAAAAAAAAAACTTACAAAACCAATATATACAAAAGATATTATTTGCACAATAATCATGAAACAAATTTTAGAATTTTTAAAAAATCGAAAACTGATCTAATCCAAACTGAAAAATATTAGATTGGATCGGATCAGATTTGAAAAAAATTTCAAACTGTATGAATGATTAAATGATCAAACCGAAGGTATTGAATCAAATAATTTTTACTTTTAAAACCGATCGAATTTGGATCACCAACACCCTACCCTATCTAGTTTTTTGCGAAATTCAATTAAGCAAAGCAGTGAAAGGTCGAAGGATACTGACTAAATTAAGAAAATAATAATAATAAAAAAAACGCGTTTGTTAACGCCTCTTCTTCTTCCAATGCCGAAATAGCGTGTGAAATTAAAACGGGTGAGGTTTTTCTAACCTTCGTTGGCAACTTCGTGAGTAGTTTTCTTAGCTGTCCTTCTCAACAGTCAAAACAAACAGCACTCATATATAAATACATCATATACACAACACATGCATAACACAAACCTCACCTTCTTTATAATCAATCTTCTTGTTTGGTATTTTCCATTTTGCATTTCATAATTAATCTTCAAAAAACATTGAAGGAAAAAAAAAATGGTTAAATTGAGCAACAACTTGATCGGAATCCTGAACTTCTTGACCCTCATTCTCTCGATTCCGATACTGGTGGCTGGCGTGTGGCTCAGCAAACAATCCAACACCGAATGCGAGAGATGGTTGGAGAGACCCGTCATTGCACTCGGCGTGTTCCTCTTGGTGGTTTCACTCGCGGGACTCATCGGTGCTTGTTGTCGCGTTTCGTGGCTCCTCTGGTTCTACCTACTCGTGATGTTCTTGCTCATCGTGCTCCTCTTCGGATTCACCATCTTCGCCTTTGTTGTTACCAATAAAGGAGCTGGTGAAGCTTTGGGGAATAAAGGGTACAAGGAGTATAGGCTTGGTGATTACTCTAATTGGTTGCAGAAAAGGGTTAACAATACCAACACATGGAACAGGATTAGGAGTTGTTTGCAGTCTGGAAAACTCTGCTCCGATTTCCAATCCCGATTCCTCAACGACACCGTCGATAAGTTCTACACGGAGAATTTATCAGCGCTTCAGGTCAAATTTCTTTTCTTGAACTTTATTGCTTTTCTGGGTTTTGATCAAAATTTGAGCTTGCGGTGTGTTTTGTTTGGGATTGGGGTCTTGAATCTATGAAATTACATTAAGGGTTTGTTTTGTTACCAATTTCTCTGGTTGCACGTGGTCATCGCAGATCTGGTTTTGAATTCGAATCTTGTTTTGTCTATTCGAAATCTTGATTTGTTTACTTTTGGGTCATGGTTGAAGGGAATTTCTTTGGTTGACCATAAACAAGTTAAACTTTCGCCCGCCCCCTTTAATCTTTTTGTGAGTTTAAATTCAAATAGATTTCTGGAAAAAGTGAAACTTCGTCGGATCAAATTTGTGATATATCTTTTCCGGAGTAGCCAAGGTTTCTTTTTGAAAGGTGGTCTTTTTTTAACTTGGATTGGCTTTTTTTTCTCAGAAAAGGCTGTATTCTTTTTGACTTGGATTGGCTTTTGTCTGAAAAGGCTGTATTCTTATTTTATTTGCTTGTTTCCAATGCATTTTTTGTCGGACTTTTTCCATTCTTTTTGCTAATTTTTTTTAAGGGCTCATGGATGCTAGTGCTGCTGGGCTAAAAGTTTTTCACTTTTTTAGTTTTTATTGCTCTTGAATCTGCATGTTTTAGTGCTCACTTGTCTTTCCAATAAATAATCTTTGGTTTACGAGAGATTCTATATGCTTATTCTTTCTCCAAGAGCAATTCCACCCTTCAATTTACTTGGTCTTACAATTGGATCCACATCACTGGTGGAATCTAACCGTCCAATTTTTCTTGTAGAAAGAAAATTTCTTCCTTTAAGGACATTTGAGAATTTCTTATATGATATACAGTTATGCCCTGTACAGTATTTTTCTTTTTAATGGATTCAAATAAGTTGGAGTAAACTGCAGTTATAGACCGTAAAAAAGTGAAGCGTTTCTTTTCCTCACAAAGCTCAGATGTTTGCATTTGGCTCACATTTGTTATATCTTGGATTAAAGCCAGTAGTGAGGATTTTTAAGCCTGTTTTCAGTGATCAGTACTTAGCTGAGATACTCAAGAGTCTTCTATGCCTATCCCAGTTGCTCTGAAAAGCATGACGATTTCTATCTCCTCCTGACTTTTCATGATGGTGACTTGTAGTACAAACAATGTTCTTCGGACAAATATTTTAAGCTAATTTAAACTTCAAAGGAAACCAAATGATGCTTCACGTAAATGAGTGCAAGTGATTGTGACTGCTTAACTTAATGGAATCCTACGATTGAATTTCTTTGTTTGACACATTGTGACTGCTTAATTTATGTGGTATCTTACGATTTAATTTCTTTCTGTGATACACAAGTACTGATGGTTATAATGTTATGCCATGTTAATCACTTGTTTCTTTATGGTGTTGCCTGGCTTGAGTTCAGGTTTCTTTTGCTGCCCAACTTGAACATGGAAAGGAACTAATCCTTAACATAGATATATCATGTTTGCTAGCATATAAATACTTAAATACCATGATCAGTTTTAAGTTATTCGATACCTAAAACTTCATTTTTCCGAGCTTAGCAGGGGCTTTACCTTTGCTATTGTCTTTCTGTTAATTTGTTTGCTAGAATTGGAACGAACTGAATTCATTCTTAAAACTGCTGTTGTCATTTCCTTGTTTTCAAAAACTGATTCTAGAATGTTTGATGCATTAGTTCTGTCCTTTTACGGTTTGCTCTGAAGCTGGGTGGCCCAGCTTCAATTTTGTTAGCTGATTGTTCTCTGCTTCTGGTTTGTAAATTCTAGACACCTTATGGATTCCCATTTTTTGAATGTTTTCTGCAGTCTGGATGTTGTAAGCCTTCAGACGACTGTAAATTTGTCTATCAAAATCCAACTACATGGACGAAGACAACAAATGCGACTTATACCAACCCTGACTGTGATGCTTGGAATAACGATCCAAACGTTCTGTGCTTCAATTGCCAATCTTGCAAGGCCGGCTTACTGCAAAACCTAAAGACTGACTGGAAGAAGGTGGCTATTATCAACGTCATATTCCTGGTCTTCCTGATTATTGTGTATTCCATTGGTTGCTGTGCATTCAGGAATAACAGGAGGGACAATTGGAAGAGATATTAGGCTCATTTACATTCACTATTTTTAGTATGTAGATGAGTTAGGTCATTTCGTTTATATGCTGGATTTTTTCAGTACAGTGTCTGCTATGTAAATTGCTCACTTTTATATTACATTTTCGCATACCTTCTGTACTTAGATATTACTTTGGATGCACTGCATTTCCTTCTGTTTCCTCACCTTATATCGCACAATGCAGAACATTTTACCTTCGCTTAATTGATTGTGTGAAAGTATTTCAGATTATTGTTGTGCTAGCCATTCGAATTATCGATGGGACATGAGCTGTGCTTTCCCTTGAATCTCAGTAAACAAAAAAATCATTCTCTCTTGATTTTTTTGGGTACTAAAGAATTGAACCTGTGTGTTGGAGGTGAAAGACCATGTCATTGTCTCTGAATTGTTGGTAATATTGAATTATTGATGCCTGTGCTCTTGGGGCCCGTCTTTTGGATAAGGGAATCTGCTATGGGCTTGTTTCTAGCCATCGATGATTGAAATTAGACTAGTTTGCAATGAATTTATCTTTCCTTCTTTATTTTTTTACATAAATTGTGGCTGAGGAATGAGGATAGAATTTGTGGGACCCTTCTTCCACATGACTTTTCCTAACATCAGGTGTCAGGTGTCAGGTGTCATTGTCATGTCTGGGTGCGCTTCCCTCCGTCCTTATCCTACTTGTTCACGCATTCCTCTTGTTAAGGTTTTCAATTCTTTTCAAATTTCAGATTTAGGAATAAAATTGCGTCACGGATGGGTCATTTTCAGTTTTCTTTTCTTTTTTCCATTGACGAGTTTTAGAGCACGAGGATGCAAGTGTTTAATTATTTTTTTCAAATCTCTTGAAATTTTATATTACAAACTTTCTTTAAACAGAGTAGGCTAAAGTATGTTTTTAAAACTTTCAAAAAAAAATTAACAGAGGTTTGTGTAGATTTTCAACGTCCAATTTTATAGTTCTATACTTATATCACAGATTTGTATAAATTCTTAAAATAAATAAGAGGTTTGAAATATATTGAAAATAAAATACAGAAAAGCTGGAAGCAATTTACTTGAAAAACTACACGAAATTACGAGCGGAAAACTCCTAATTTTTCCTAACACAAAAGCAGAAGAACGGATTTCTAGGTAAGAAAATGAGAACGGAACGCAAAACTTCGATTTTTATTTTTATTTTTTTCAACGTTCACTTCATTACAAATTTTGGTGAAGGGTATTAAGTTAAGTTTCTTTAAGCTGCCACTTGTTCCTCTTCGTTTTATCAATTCTTAAGTGATCAAATTTCACCAAAACTATCATTGGTTTAGTCATCAGGGCTCCATCTTGCTCTCTGCTACATGTTCTGATTTATCTGATAGAAGGGGTTCTTCCAAATCTATCTTACTACGTATCTCATCATCTTGCAAGTTTGATTGTGGTGCCTCTTGTTTAATCCCATCAAACTCTTTGGCTTTACCCCATAGCACAATATATAAACCAATAATCACTCCAACAGCTCCTATCACACTGAAAATGAATTATGCATTTGATTAGGCCCATTCACAAAAAATAACATATGTATATTTAAAGAGCTGATGAGGGAAAGAGTGAATTGGATTAGCATTGAGTTCTTCATGAACAATATAATTGAGGGAAATATATTAGTGTATTACCTTCCAACGTATAGCTCTTCCTGTAGGAACGTAGCAGATATCAAAGCTGTGATGACTGTTGCTAGAGGATTGAACATTGCACAGTACAGGGGACCCCTTTCTGATATGCACCAAGATTGAGCGAAGAAGCTAACCGCAATTCCAATTCCCTATTTCATAACAGTTACCAGTTAACAGCATCAGTATTTTACTATGCAAAACAATATTTACCAATTAAACTGTTGTTGAGGGACTTGTGACTCACTGCATATAAACAACATGAAATTTCTAGAGGTGAATGTAAAATCCATGCTTGAAGATCCTGCTCAATGATCAATGCAAATATGGCTGACTGTATCGTTGAAAACAGACACATCCAAAAGGTCGATAATAAATGGTCTGGGCAGCTTGAAGAAATTGGTACCTGTTGTGTAAGTTAAATCATATTTTTCATTGATAGACAATGAGATTATCCCATGATTCTGTTTTTATTTACCTGCAAGATCATCCAACATGACCAAAAAACACTACTTGCTAAGAGCAATAGACAACCCAGCAGCCAATTCTCACCTCCACTGGTTGTGAGACTGAGATGCTTATAAGGAAGGAACTCCATGTGTAACAGCTTATGTCCTTTGAGAAATGCCATTGTTAAGGCTCCACTGACACAACAAACCGTACCTAGTATCTTGGCCATACTTCTCAAGCTTCGTAGATCAATTTTCTCATATCTAACTCATTCATAAACAGGAAATGTTATTCCATATGAAGAAAACAAATACCAGCAAAAAAAATATGATTAAATGATCACTAGAGTCACATTCACATGACTGTTACTATATATTCTATTTTGGTTGAAGTGATTCATGATTTAAAACTTCTTTGTCATACTTGCAAACTGCATACTTAATTACTTAGTGGGGTTAAGAGCAAGTACCCAACAATTGTTGCAATTACAAAAGTTACTGCAGGTATCAGATTACTCATTGCAGTAGCTGCTGTAGAAGACGCATAGTATAAACCTTTAAAATATGCATTCTGATTTGCTGTAACACTGCAATAAAAAAATCAACTTTGGATAAGTTTCAATATTATTAATTTTTTGTTAAAAGTAAATAGCACAAACAAGAAAAAAAAAAAAAAAAAAAAGCATGAGAGTTACCCAACAAGAGAGGTCAGAAACATCAAAGAGAAGCTCCTAAATCCCAATGAAATCTTAAAAGATTGTCTCCTGCTATAAAAAACAAGCATACGCTCTGAGTAGGTGAATGAGATTAAGCTTAAGAAAAGGAGAGGTCATGAAATTATTACCGCTTAGAGGAAAAAAAGATAGGTGCCAATGCCAAAGTGGCTATGGCTTGCCTATACACTACAAAGACCGTGGGACTCAACCCATCTACCAGAGCAGCTCTTGTGAAGATGGCAAGCGCTGCATAATGAAATTGTAACCCTATCATACCCATTGTTGGAATATAACCATCTAGCCTACCCATTTTTTTTTAGATGGAAGTTAAGCTTTGAGACCTTTGATGTATATATAGTAAGTCTAAGAGAGGAGTTGAAGAGTGCTAAGTAAACGAAGAGTGGAGTTGAGTTGCATTTTCATCAAATACATTTTTTTAAGAGGGGAGAAAAGTTTATTAACTTCGACTTGGGATTAGTCCCATCATCAGTTTGAAGAATTGAAATTTATAAAAATATTTAGAACTGACATGTTTCAAAAAAGATAATTAGATTTGATATAAAAAAAAATTGTGTACCCATTATTAATAGTTGAATCTACGTTCATTTAACTTAAACTTTTGATCTCCAATAATTTAAAACGATTAAATACAAGTAGAAATAACGATTAATAAAAATATGTGAGTTTTAGACTTTGGTATATATATAGAGAGAGACTAGACTGAAGTATCAGAAAAAGTTGATTCAAGTGGTACATATTTAATTACGTTTAAATAAAATTTTACGTCTAAGTTCTTTTGAATATAAAAAATCCTCTTTAAAAGAGTTTTTTTTTTTAAAAAATATTCCAATCGGTTCATTGTTTTGCAACTAATTCGATTCAAGGCAGGTCCAGGATTAAGGTTTTAAACCTCTCTCAAAGCTGATACTGGAGAGATTCGAACACATGCTCTCACTCCCACCTACTTAGCTCCCATGCACTAACTGAACTACTACCATTTGGTCTCTTTAAAAGAGTTAACCCTATGAATATTCTCGATTCAAAGAAAATTATCTCCCGTTATTAGAGTAGCATTAATTTGTTAGGATCCTGATTGTAACTATCACGGTTTGTTACCTTGTATATTAAAATAGATTAGCTTGATTTATGCTTTCTGTTCCTTAGTTTTAGCTGATTTCCTGATGTAAATAGATTAGCTTGATTTATGCTTTCTGTTCCTTAAGTTTAGCTGATTTCCTGATGTAAATAGATTAGCTTGATTTATGCTTTCTGTTCCTTAAGTTTAGCTGATTTCCTGATGTAACCAATTGTAAATCTTGGTCTATATAATAGACCCAATTTGATATATCATCAAGCTGCGAATGACAGCAACTTCTGTTATGGTATCAAGAGCTTGACGATCAACAAGCCTTCATTTTTTTTTTTTTTTTTTTCATCATGACTTCCGCACCTAAAACCTTCAAGGTTTCTGATTCTAAGTCACCCTTTTACCTGCACCCATCCGACAATCCTGGTGCTGTTCTCACCACGGTCATCCTCCGTGGACAATCCAATTATGAAAATTGGGCTGCTCATACTTCTCTGCCTTCGGTTCCTTCTGAGCCGTCATCAGCATCCATCTCCATGGCAGATTTTACACCAGAAGTTCTACAACATCTCATGTCCTTGGCTGTCTCTTCTGCCCCTCCAGTTGATAAACTTACGGGTAAAATTTTACACCCATCTTGGATCATCGACAGTGGTGCATCCCAACACATGACGGGCACACTCTCCTATCTATCCAATGTGCATTCTATTTCTCCTTGTTCTGTGGGACTGCCGATTGGAGTTCATGATATTGCTACGCAATGTGGCAGCATTAATTTGGGCTCTTCTCTTCATCTCTCCAATGTTCTTTATGTCCCTTCGTTGGCTTGTAATTTGATTTCTGTATCTCAGCTTCTGCGCCAGTCTTGCTTGGCATTGTTTGTTAATTCTGTTTGTTTGATACAGGACCTAAAGCAGAAGAGGACGATTGGAACGGGTGTTGAACGAGAAGGGGTGTATATATTGTGTGCATCATCAGCTTCTGCTCATGTTGCCAGTACGTCAGATTCTGCAGCACTATGGCATCGTCGTCTAGGACATCCATCTTCCCGTTATTTATCTTTGTTACCTTTTATTTCCAATGCAAACAATTTGGCTCCTTGTGACGTTTGTTGTAAAGCCAAACAACCACGAAGTCCTTTTCCTATTAATAATAAACGTTGTTTACATCCTTTTGATTTACTTCACTGTGATATATGGGGGCCATATCATATGGCATCTACAACTGGTGCCCGCTATTTTTTAACTGTAGTCGATGATTTTAGTAGACATGTTTGGATTTTTTTGATGCGCAATAAAACTGAAACTTCCACATGTTTACTTCGGTTTCTCCACTTGGTTCGCACCCAATATGATGCATCTGTTAAGCGAATTCAGAGTGATAATGGGACTGAATTTTTGTCATCTGTAGTCCAAGAGGCTCTCTCATCCTACGGTATTCATCATCAATTATCATGCACTTACACCCCACAGCAAAATGGACGCGTTGAACGTCGTCATCGTCACATCCTCAACGTGGCTCGTGCTTTGCGTTTTGATGGTCACTTACCTATATCTCTTTGGGGAGAATGCATCTTGACCGCTGCTCACCTCATCAACAGGACACCGACTCCACTCCTTGGTGGTCAGTGTCCCTATGAAGTTTTGCATGGCACTCCACCAAAGTATGATCACTTACGGGTCTTTGGGAGTTTATGTTACACTACTGTTTTACCCAAACCACATGACAAGTTCGCTCCTCGCTCCCGTAAGTGTGTGTTTGTTGGCTACCCTTTCAACAAAAAAGGATGGAAGGTCATGGATATCTCCACTCATGAAATATTTGTTTCTCGTGATGTTTTATTTCATGAAACTATTTTTCCATTGGCTGCAACTTCATCTGCACCTTCTGTCCATGTACCGTCACCACAAGCTGTCTTCACCGATTATGATGTGGCACCTGTTACTGCTATTGATACTCCCACAGCGGAGCTTGATGACAGGGGGAGTTCGTCCTCCCCAGTTCCGGGTTCTATTACTTCATCCACGGATGTCCCTGGTTCACCGGTTCCGTTGACAGAACCCAACACTGCATCTGTGGCAGATATTCGTGAACAGCGTGCCAGACGTCCCCCATCTCATTTAAAGGATTATGTATGCAACACAATGACTACACCCTTTCCTCGTCTCTCCACTTCTCCAATCGACTCAGGTATTCAATATTCCATTGATCATTATGTTTCTAATGCATTATTTTCTTCGCACCATCAGATTTTTCTTGCCGCCGTGGATAGTAACCTGGAACCCAAATCATTTAAAGAGGCTATGCAATATCCTCATTGGCAGAAAGCCATGCAAGCCGAAATTGATGCATTGGAAGCCAATCATACTTGGCAAATTCAACCTCTCCCTTCTGGTAAGAAAGCTATTCCATGTAAGTGGGTGTACCGCATCAAGTACAATTCTGATGGAACCATTGAACGCTATAAAGCGCGTCTGGTTATTGCTGGGAACAATCAGATCGAAGGAGAAGATTACACTGAGACTTTTGCACCGGTGGCTAAAATGACAAGTGTGCGTACATTTTTATCTGTAGCTGTAGCTCGAAAATGGAGCATTTTTCAGCTGGATGTTCAAAATGCCTTTCTCCATGGCGATTTGGATGAAGAAGTCTTTATGCGTTTTCCTCCCGGTTTCTCCCAAACCAAGTCTGGTCACGCCTGTAAGCTTCAACGTTCACTTTATGGTCTCAAGCAATCCCCACGAAATTGGTTTGCTAAGCTTCGTAGTTCTCTCCTCAGTTTCGGCTTTGTTCAGTCTCGTGCTGATTATACGTTGTTCACTTACTCGACTGGTTCCCATTATGTTGCTATACTTGTCTATGTAGATGATATTTTGTTGGCAGGTAGTGATCCTTCTCTCTGTGACCGTGTCAAAGCTCATTTACAAACCTGGTTTAAAATCAAAGATCTTGGTCCCCTCAAGTATTTTCTTGGCATTGAATTTGCTCGAAGCAAGACCGGTTTGTTTCTTACTCAACGCAAATTTGCTTTGGATATTCTTAAGGAATGTGGACTTCAAAGTTGTAAACCGGTTGCTTATCCTATGGATCCCAATCACAAGCTTGCTCTTGCTGAAGGACCTCCGTTTGATGATCCTAAACGTTATAGACGTATTGTTGGCCGTCTTGTATATCTCACGATTACACGACCAGAACTTAGTTATGCAGTTCACACACTTTCTCAGTTTTTGCAGCATCCTATGCAGATACATTACGATGCGGCTATTCGTGTTCTTCGGTACATTAAGTCCAATCCTGGCCAAGGACTCCTTCTTCGATCTGACAGTGATCTTCTTCTTCGTGCCTATTGTGATTCGGATTGGGCTAGTTGTCCCTTGACTCGAAAATCAGTCACTGGTTATTTTGTTACTCTTGGACATTCTCCTATTTCTTGGAAAACCAAGAAGCAAAACACAATATCCCGCTCCTCTGCTGAAGCTGAATACCGTGCCATGGCAGCTGCGACTTCTGAGCTTATTTGGTTAAAGTCTTTTCTCAGCTCTCTTGATATTCCTCATGCAGCCCCTATGCAACTGTTTTGTGACAGTCAGTCTGCTATTCATATTGCTTCTAATCCAGTGTTCCATGAGCGTACCAAGCATATCGAGTTAGATTGCCATTTTGTTCGGGACTATCTTCTCAGCAAGACTATTTCTACTCAACATATCCCCACTAGTTCTCAACCCGCAGATATTATGACCAAAGCACTTGGATCCAAACAATTCGATTTTTTGACTTCCAAGTTGGGCATCTCCTCCCTCCATGCTCCACCTTGAGGGGGAGTATTAGAGTAGCATTAATTTGTTAGGATCCTGATTGTAACTATCACGGTTTGTTACCTTGTATATTAAAATAGATTAGCTTGATTTATGCTTTCTGTTCCTTAGTTTTAGCTGATTTCCTGATGTAAATAGATTAGCTTGATTTATGCTTTCTGTTCCTTAAGTTTAGCTGATTTCCTGATGTAACCAATTGTAAATCTTGGTCTATATAATAGACCCAATTTGATATATCATCAAGCTGCGAATGACAGCAACTTCTGTTACCCGTTGATTTATAAAAACAAATAAACTGAGACATGAAAGAGGACTTGCTCGACTAGTAGCATCAAACTGTCTCGGTCCAAAGTTTTTAGGTTTGCTTCTTATTATGAATGGAGCAACCTCTCTTTCATGAAGGCAGAGACGTGAACATTCGAGAAGAGCTAGCAAAATAA